ACATTATTATTATTATTATTATTATTTCTTTGTTCCATCGCATCCTTGAAGGAGAAGAAGAAGAAGAAGAAAAAGATGGAGAATATAAAAATTGCAATTTGTTTTTTATTCTCCAGAAACTAATAGTGAAAGTCTCTTCCTGAGTCAGGGTCAATATGCGGCACTTAATGTTAAATCTTTTACTGGACAATTATTATTGCGTTAAACGCGTGCGTACGAACGCACGCACATTCTCACGCACAAACACTCTCTCTTTTTAAAAAAACACAATTTATGGCCGTTAATAAAATTTTTCACGCACGCACGCACGCACTCTCTCTCTCTTTCTCTCTCTCTCTCTACCATTCGTTTTTACCTATTAACGTTCTTTAAAGTATCATCATCATCATCATCATCATCATCATCATCATCATCATCACCACCATCACCATCACCATCACCCTCATCATTATTATTATTATTATTCCGCTCTTCATTTTCTCCAGCGTTTTCTTTTCTCATCCGCTTTTTTTAATCCATAACTTTCTTTCGTCGTATTAATTATCATCATCATCATTATTATTATTTTTTTCCTTCTCCTCAAAACATTTCTCCAGATTGTTATCTGGAACGAATAAACCAAAGTCCTTTTGTAGAGGTCTGGGAAATCCCAGAGTTCAATCAAGTTTTTATTAACATTATTTATTTATTTAAAGCAAAGGTTGTTCGGACCCTCGTATCCGACCTTCCTTCCCGGGATCTTCTGTTTCTCCAGACATTTTCCAACAAAAAAAAAACATTAACAATAATAATAATAATATTTTCGCAATGGTTTTTTTTACGTAACGACAAATCGAAAGATGTCAGACACGGCGAAATAACAAACAAACAAACGAAACAGAAAAAAAAAAAAAAGTGGTAGTAGTAGTAATAATAATAATAATAATAACGAAACACAATGAAAAGAGTGGTGTCTTGTGTGGCGGTGGGGTGCGGCGGTGCGTGGAGGTGGTGGTGGGGAGGAGAGGTTTGATAACAGCCATAATCACATGAAGCAAAATTATATAGTTAAAACATCATCATCATCAGTGTTGACTTGTATTTCGCTTGTTCGATACTCGTTTTGCAAATCGCGGTTTTCTTCGGTTCCACGATTATTATTATTATTATTCCTCTTTCTCTTCTTCTTCTTCCTTTTTGGAAAATTCCAGAAAGTTTTTTTTTTTTTACTACCATATCCTCCCTCCTCCATCACGTTTCCATCATTTTCGAAAGTTCTGTTGTTTTTATTTTATTAAAAAAATAGTTCCTATCGTTCGTGTTTTGTTGTTGCATTTTTATTATTATTATTATTATTTAATTCATCATGACCGTCGCAAGGTTAGTAAGTAACAATCACATTATTATTATTATTATTATTACTTGCATGCTGCAGCCATTTTCTTTTTTTTTTTTTGTATTCCTGTTGCATTGTTCGTTGCACGTACTATTCTCAATTTTTTTTTTTTACGACAAGAGAAAAAAACAAATTAAATAAAATGAATTTGTTCTATTAAAACAAACAAAATAAAACAAACGAAAAAACAACAGCAATAATAATAATAATAATAATAATAATAATAATAATAATAAATTTTCGACAGGATATAGACTATTTTTAATCGGGGGGAAAAGAAAACAAAAAAAAAATTTTTTTCGTGGTAATAGAAAGAAAGGTGGTAAAAAAAAGAAAAAAGAAAAAAATGTGATAGTGATAATGATAATTGAACAAACACAATCCATGTTAGTCACAACAACGACAACAACAACAACAACAAACAATCGCAAATTTTTATTGATATCATCGCAATCCAGGAAATCGCAAATAAACTAATCAAACGTTTTTAATCAATTGAACAAATTTTAAACGCGCAGTCATCCATCCGTACCCATCCAAACCCATTTTCCGTTTGTTTACAACGACAACAAACAAACAAACAAATGCGTGACAATCCCGATTTCTAACGATAGAACAAAAGAAAAAAATTTTTTTTTCTTTTTTTTTTTTTTTTTCTCGAATTCTCGCAAACGGAAAAATTTTTTTCCGGTCGTCGTTCGTTTGTTTTTGTTTGTCGTTTAAATATTTTTTTTTTTAAACAAAAAATTTTTCCCGGTCGTCGTTTGTATTCAAACAAACAAGCAAACGAAAGCCGATCCCACGGATCGATAAAAATAAAAAAAAATATTTCACTCGTATCGATCGTAGTCGCGAGTACCCGTGACGTCACTCCTTTAAAACTTTTTTTTCTCGGAAAAATTCGAACGTTGAACAAACGCACAAACAAACGCGCGTACGTGTCTGTCTGTTTGTTTTTTTCTTTTCCAGAGGTCAAAATTATTCCAGAGGTGTAAACTATTAATAATAATAATCGTTTTTTAATATATATGCGAATATATTAAACTCGATACTTCTTTAAGTATTTCCATGACCTAACCCAATAACGTAAAATCATTCGTTTGTTTGTCTGTTTGTTTGTTTGTTTGCCTGTTCGATTATTTGTTTAACTTTTGTTTAAAAGAATAATAATCAACGTTAACGTATAGATTCGTCAAATATAAAAAATAGAAAATTTTTATTTTCTATCGACTTTTATTTAAATCGCATTCGCGATTGTTATTGTTGGTTGTCGGTTGTTGTTGTTGGTTGTTACTTTGTCCCGATTGCTTTAATAATCTTGACGTCAATCTCTCGGACTTTTGCCAATTTAAAAACTTTCTATTTGTTTTATTATATTAATAAATTTTATAATATTTTCAAATAAAATCCCGCCATTTTTTTTCCTTTTCTTCTTTTTTCAATTTTCCACATTCTTTGTTTTCCCCCCTCTCTCTCTCCCCCCCTCGTGATAATAATAATAATGATAATGATAATGATGACGACGACAACTCATCTATTTAAATCCTGCATAAAAAATTTTTTTTTTTTTTTAAATCGTCAAAATTTTAGTTTTTAATCTCGTCCCTTACGCCACCTCATTAACGCCACGACCCATCGCTCTTATTTTTTTTGTGGGGGGCAAGAGGGAACGAGGGGGGAGGGAAGAAGAAGGGGGCACTAACGCCGCGTTTTTTTATTGTAATTTCCGATAATAAAACGATTAATTCTTACGATTTAAATTTTCGAGTCTCGAATTTATATTGATTCGCCACGGATTTGCAAACTTTCGAATGTTGTCATTTAAAAATTCATCAGGGACGTAGTAAGGTTATTTAAATCAAATACGAAAATCAGGTTTCTTCTTCTTCTTCTTTATGTACCGTCGAATTTATTATTTATTGAACGACTTCATTATTCATCGAGGTTGACTACGCAACCCTCTTCCCCTCGATTAATTAATTTTGTATTGTACCTTAAGATACCTTAAAACGCGCGTAACATAAAATCCGATCGATTTTTTTTCCCCTCCGCTGCGTTTTTTAATGACGTGACCTCACACACATATATACGCAATTGACCTCGAAAGAAGCAAAAATCATGGGCAAAAAAAAAAAAAAACAATTTGCAATTTCATTGTACTCCGCGATGATTGTGACAATTGTTATTAAGGTATATCTCTCGCACCTACTTATTTCTAATTCGTTCATTCATTCATTCATTCATTCAGTCATTCAATCATTCAATCAATCATTCATACTCTCACTCGACCAAACATATATGAATACGTTAAAAAAATTTTTTTTGTAAATTCCTACCTTTTATAGTAAATAATTACTCGGTGTAATATTCGTCTTTGCGTTGTTTTGAGCTCGTTTGTTTGTTTTCTCGTTTGTTCGTTTGTTTGTTCATTTCCATCGTTTTGATTCTTTCTTTACTTTTCTAATTTAAATTCGTCAATACCTCACCTAAAAAAAAAAATTACAAAGTAATCAAAAACCAAAAAAAAAAAAAAATTAATAAAAGATTCAAATTACAACACGGGGAGTTTTTTTGTCGTTTGTTTGTTTGTTTGTTTGTCGAGTTAATCGAGAGAGTATCAATATGAAAATATATACATTTAATTTTTTTAAGGTTCGAATAACCATATGTGCAACAAACCTTTCCGGTTTGCGTTTTTTTTTTTTTTTTATGAAACTCAATTATTTATATATAAAAATTTGGCCTTCAACTTTATTTTCAGGGTTTTTTCTTTTTGTTTGTTTGTTTGTTCGATTCTAAACGACCTTAAACCGCAATGATAAATTTTTTTTTTTTTTTGTAACCTTTCGTTGGTTTTTATTTTTATTTTTTTTCTTTTTCGTTGGTAACAAAAAAAATTTTTTTTTTGGATTTTCGCGTGACGACGACGACGTCCGCCATTTTATTTTTTTTGTGTCACGTTTTATCGTACCTGACAATTTATATTAATAAATTTAATTAACGTGTAAATAAATAAACGAGAAAATAATTTCGAAACACGAAACGTTACGACGACAAATTTTTTTTTTTTTGTAGAAAAACCGTTTGTTGTTGTTGTTGTTGCTTTTACCGTACGATGATAACGTCACATTCCGCCATCATTATCATCATTTTTTTTTTTTTATCGTCGACATTTTAATCGGACAACAACCGAACGACAAAAAAATTATTATTATTTAAATCAGGTACGAAACAAAAACTTGGATTTCCGTTTTAATCGATCGTTGTGCAGGTTTAGCAACATCAAGTTTTTTTTTTTTTGTAAACCTGATCGAGATTGACGTAAAACTTTTTTCGTACTCGTATAATTAATCATTATTATTATTATTTAAATAAATTTCATGATTTTAAATGTTGTATCGTGTACCAAACACCCTTTTTTTTTTTTGTTTGAAAAGTTGGCACGAATGTATTTCGGGTACACAAACCACGTGATCTTTCTTTTTAAAATAAAAATTTTTTCCTTACAGATCTTCTTCGAGAATAAGAAAATGAATTAAAAATAACCGCCATTAGGGAAACGAAACGAAAAAGAAAAAAATTTTGTTTAACGTGGAAACAGAAAAAGAAAAACACATAGAAAAAAATGTTTATAAAAAAACTTTTTACTAAATCCGTACATAGGATAACAAATGATTTTAAACAAAAAGAATTACTTCCGCTTAAGTTGGTATTTTTCGTACAAGCTTCGAGTAAGTGTTTCCTGTTTTACTTTTTTTTTTTTTTTTAACTTTACGAAATCTAAATTTTTTTTTCTTGTTTTTGTTATTTCCGGTTAAGCTTTATCCGTTTTGTATCCTTACATAACGATACACATGAGAGAATTGGGTATAAACGTGGAAGAAGCCGCCATTATGTCAGCGGTCATACCCATAATAGGAATATTTATGCCCCCGCTGGCGGGGATGGTAGCTGATAAAATAGGAAATTTTAAGGTAAGTTACAAAACCTGTAATGGCGTCGGTGGCGGCGTCGGCGTCGATTCGATAATTATTTTTAAAAAAAATTTTTTTTTTCCCACCCCCCCCCCAGTTATTACTCGCATTTTTTTCTTTCGTCGGAGGAGCCGTCGCACTTTTGTTACTTTTGGTACCCGTTGGAAGAATCACGGTCACATATCCGGACAGAGTCATATTAAGCATGGGTTGCGATGATTTTCCATCAAACGATCGTTTAGGTATTTTTCTACTCCTTCTTCCGTTTCCGTTTCCGTTTTCATTTTTATAAATTTGTTTTTGTTTTTTTCAGAATCGAAATTAAAACTTGGCTTTTCCGACGACATTTTTTGCGACGTACCATCCGATTTTAACACGACAAAATTTTACGATATGAAATTTGAAGGATGCGGTTTTATGTGTCGTTTGTACAATAACAGTGAGTAGTAGTGTTTGTCTGTTTGTTTGTTCCCCCCCATACTTCTTTAATAAAAAAAACAAAAATGGTGTCGGTGTCATGCAAATACCACCAAACGATAATTAATTCCATGTGACAATCAACAAATTCCTTCCTTTTTTTTTTTTTATACAAACAACAATCGACAGGTTTAAAACAAACAAACAAACATGCGATATAAGATTACAGTCCTTGAATACAAAAATTAATAATAATAATAATAATAATAATAATAATAATAATACTTGATCGATCCATTTGAAAAATCACACACACGCGAACGCGAATCACTTTTGTGTAAATTTTCCTAAACAAAATGGCGACGGGTAAATTCATAATCGAATTTTTAACGAAATTTCAGGTTTGATTACGAATCCATCGGATTTTTTATCAAACGGCAGAAGTTATAAAATAGAAATTAAAAAAAAAAATCAAAATGGCGACGGTGACGGTGACGACGTCACATCTCTAGAATATAATTTAACAAAAGATGACGTAATTAAAATAAAAACAAAACAAGACGTCATAAGTAATAGAATATTAAAAAACGACGGGAAATTAAGGAAATCCATAAGGAGAATGACGTCATTGGAGTATTATTTTCCAGCGATTGAATTATCGGAATTGAATTGTTATAACGATGGAGAAAATGTCGTCTGTCATTTTGGTCAAAAAATTACAAATGAAAAACAACTTTCGACGAAAATGGCGGACACGGTTTTACGATTGAATAAAACGATGAATTTCAAATTGGAAAAAATACGTTCGGATTTAAATATTGATGACGTTGATGATTTCGTCACGACGTTCGTGACTTGGTCGAACGGAAATAAATCAAACGATGACGTCACGAACGTTGTCAACGCATCCTATTGCGAATCGAACAAGGTAATATTAATTAATCGAGCCATCGATCGATATATCGATCGATAAAAACTCTCTCCCATCTTTTTCCCTTTTGTTTAACGTCTCCTTCCACGACAATTTTCCCCAAAACTTTCTTATAACGCGTAATTATCCTTTTAAAAATTGAAAAATCCTGGGAAAAAAATTTTTTTTCTTACTCTATGGAATCCATCATTCTATTATTTACTCTATGGAATCTCCATTTTTTTTTTTAAATTGTTATATAAAGATGGGGGGGTCGAGGGGTTCGTACCATCGTTTCTTTTATTTTTAATATTTCCTCCTCTCCTCCCCCCGTTTGTTCCTCTGTTTCAGAACGACGACGTTTCCGTTTTAGTTAATTTACATAATCCGAATAACAATTTGGAAATAATTGAAAAGATACCATTGAGAGATTGTAAGCCGAGATGTTTGGTAACGACTCAAAGGAAATCCATGTGTACCAACTTAAAAGAAGAAGTCGTTTATAATCCGAAATTAACTTTTTGGAATTATCTCGTTATAAGAATCTTTATCGGTATCATAGGTGAGTTTGCCTTTATTATTATTATTATTATCTTCTCTCTCTCTCCCTCTATTATCGGGTCCTTGACTTTTTCCTCGTCTTTTTTTTTTTTTTTTTTGTTTGGAAAAACTTGATTTTTTTTTTTTCTTCTGTAATTAAATTTTCGTGTTTGTAATTTTCCAGTTGAAAAAATTCTTTTCTATAATTTTTTTTTTTTTTTTTTTTTTTTAATATCCTCCAGCGCGATTAAATTATATTGCAAAAAAAAGAAAAAAATTAAGCGAAATTTATTCCAGCGGTTAATAATAATAATAATAATTTTTGCGTGTTTTAACAGGTAGCACGGCATATGCCATGTACGAAGTTGCCGTCATCGCGATACTTCGAGAACACAAAGCCGATTACGGTTTGCAAAGGATATACGCATCCATCGGTGGAATGATTGCGTCACCCCTCTCGGGTTTGCTCATTGATTATGCCAGCAAAGGAAAAGGTTACACGGATTTCAGGTACGACGTAGGTAGGTAGGTGTCACGCAAAGGTTTCTTCGATTCCTATCGCCTCGTTTTTATCATTCCAGGCCTGCGTTTTATTTATACGCCGCGTTAAAAATAAGCACGAGCCTTCTCATGCTTTTCATTAATCTCGAATTTAAAAAAGCCGCATCAAACGTCATTTCCGACGCCATTCAGGTATTGAAAAATTTAGAAGTTATCGCTCTTCTAATAGCTTGTTTCGTTTTGGGTGAGTTTGATAATAATGATAATAACGAATATTTAATTCATCATCTTCGCACACGTTTGTTCCTAACTGTTTTTTTTTAAAGGTTCCGCCTGGGGTTACATAGAGAGCTTCCTGTTCTGGTTTTTAGAAGACTTGGGGGGAAGCAGGTCGCTCATGGGTATAACCATCACCATCGGTGGAATTGCCGGCATACCTCTTTTGGTTTTATCCGGTCCCATCATCGATAAAATCGGTCACGCTAATGTTATCTTCATCGGATTCATTTTCTACGGCGTCCGATTGGTTGGTGAGTAAATCGACCGTAGCGAACAAACGAACAAACGGACATTTGCATTTAAATTAATAAATAATAATAATTAAATAAATTGCATTTCCGGTTATTAAAACAAAACACAAACTCGTTTAATTCATTTCCATCGTTTTTTTTAACGCGCGCCTTTTTTTTTCTTTCGTTTCCGTTTCCGATCACTTTAACCGTCTTTTAACGTTTGTTTGTTTGTTTGTCGATTCGGAGAGTAGAATGGTACAAACGTTGTATACCCTTTTTCTCATTCGTTCAGGTTACTCTGTCATTTACAATCCGTATCATTGCCTCTACTTCGAAGCTATGGAATCTATTACGTCATCATTAGCAATCACTGCTGCTGTCACGTATGCTGCGAAATTGTCTACGACCACGACCGATGGTAGCATTCAAGGTTTGGTCGGAGGATTGTATTTCGGAGTCGGTGAGCAAACATTTCCTTCTTCTTTTAAGTACGAAATGAATGACAACTAATTGGGAACATTTTACAGGAAGGGGAGCCGGAAGTCTCATAGGAGGTTATTTAATGGAAGCATTGGGAACAAGACAAACCTACAGAGTATTTGCCCTTTTCACCGTCGTCACAGGATTCATGTATTATCTCTTCATAAGGTAAACACTAAAAAAATTTTTTTTTTTTTATAAATCCTCAATCAAAATCTTGTTTTTCTTCGTTCGAAGGTTTTACATAATGAAAAGGCCACGTGTCGAAGGGAACGACATTTGTAAAAAAGTTGAAAAACCTTGTAAAAACGATTCTGACGTCACGGTGATAACTCAAAAACCGACGGACGATAATAAAAAATCCGATAAGAAAAATACCGAAGGTGTGGAAAAACAAAACGACGTAAACGTGAACGATAAAAAAAAAATGAAAGAAGAAGAAAAAGGTGGAGGAGGAGGAGGAGGAGAAGGCGAAGGAGATGAAGAAGAAAAAAGAAAAAATTATCACAACAATCCTGCTTACGTACCTGACACGGACGAAACTAAAAAACAAGACTGAATTTAGAAAACCGAGAAAAAAATTTTTTTTTTCCCCTTTAGAACGCGACGTCGTGTCACTCCGCCCCCACCACCACCACCACCATCACCATTCATTTCCTCTTTAAAATTACTTACTTGTGATGACGTAAAAAATATGTATGACGTCATTTTCACATACTCCTTCTCCTCGATTTAAAAAAAAAAAATACTAACAATAATGACAATAATAATAATTTTATCGTTTTATTTTTACGTTTACCCGAACGTTTTATTTCTTACCCCCCCCCTTCACCCCTCACCCACCCCAACCCCCGAACACGTTCGAAAGGTTACGAACTTCCCCCTTATTATTATTATTATTATTATCATCATAATTTTTATTTCGAAAAAAAATTACGACGTTTTAATTTATGTTTTTGTTTTTCTTCCCCCGTTTTTTTGTCGTTTTCGCCTTTATTATTATTATTATCATTACGTTTTTAAATAAATAAATAAATAAAATAATAATAATATTACCTTTGTGTAAAAATAATTTTCCTTTTTCTTTTCTCCTTTGGTTTTATCATCATCATCATCATCATCATCATCATTTTTCAATTTTAATTATTTGTTTTCCATTTAACTGAAAATAAATAAAACACGTTTATTATTAACTCCTTAATAATAATTTTTTTTTATTTTTAATTATTATTATTAATTAATAATATATAAATAAAGAGAGAGAGAGAGAGAGAACGAGAGTGTTAGAGAGAGAGAGAGAGATCTACAAGGTAAAAATTTCCAAAATATTCTTAACTTAAAAAAAATTTTTCCCTATTATTTAAAATCTCTCGAGATTCTCACTAATTAACAAAACTTTTTTTTATTAATAAATAAATAATAATTAATATATATAAATAAATAAAAACCGAAATTCAAAAGTCATGATAATGATAATAATAATAATAATAATGAAATAAACACAAAGGAGTATTAATAGGATTATATGTATAAAAGCATAGTAGTAGTAGTAGTGGCACTAGATATTTCTTTTCCAAAAAAAAATTATTTCCCGCCAAAATTTTTCAATTAAACCATATAAAAAAACAACAAGGATAATAATGATAATAATAATAATGATAATAACTCGTTCGAATTTTATTTGTTTTAATGAGAAAAAAATAGGAAGAGGGAGTAAGAGAAAGAAATATTATTATTATTATTTATATTATTATTATTATTTTTTTTTTTAAATATTATTATTATTATTTATATTATTATTATTTTTTTTTTTTTAAATATTATTATTATTATTATAAATATGAAAGAAAATTTTCCCGAAAAAAAAAAGCAAACAGTTTTCTAGAAACTTCCTGACGTCATGTAAATGATTTCGAATTCGAAAAAGTTTTAACCAAGAGTTAAATTATTACAAATAAAAAAAAAAAAAGAAAAAATTTTTGTTCAGAAATGATGAACAACAAGATGTCGTCGGAGAGAAGAAGACGTTGTTTTTTAACAAATAAGTAGATCGATTAGAAAAAAAAAAAGAGAGACAGAAAAAGTGAGAAAGAGATAGAGATAGAAAAAGAGAGAGAGAGAGAAAGGTAAAGAATTTTAGAATTCAATGAGCAAATAATTAAATGAAGTGATAAATTAATTAGTGTACGATAATAAATTATTATAGTCGTGATAACACCCGTTAAAACGACAATAGGAACAAAAGGGAGGGGACCCCCCCGAAGGGGGGGATGAAGGGAAGGGAGGAAGGGGAGGGGCGAAGGGTAAGGACACCGGGAAATCGTGCCACTTTTTTTTTTTTTTTTTTAATCGTCACGAGTAAAAAAATTTCAATTCTCATTCAACGATTTATAGTTGCTGCCGGTGGTAAAATCACGTTTCGGGTCACAAAGTGTTTGTTATTGTTATTGTTACGACATTTTTAAAAACAAACGGGGGAAAAACAACAAAAACAAACAGAAAAACCGCGGATATTTTATTTTCGATTTAATTTTCATCAGACAGAGAGAGAAAGAGCGAGAGAGACGACAACGACGACGACAATCGTTTGTTTTAACAAAATGAATTTCAATCAAATTTTGTCGGTTGCCTTGTTTGCCATTGTCATACAAGAATCTTTTAAATCTGCGGTTTCCATCGAAACGATTACTAAATATTCAAAAGTTTTCGACGATTATTACAACGACAGCAACAGCAGCAACGACAGCACCAACAACGATAAAACGAACACGGAAAAAACCACAACCGAGAGGTGAGCAAATTTATACAAAATTCATTTAAAATTTTCTTTAATTTTCTAAAAAAAAAAAAGGGGGATTTAAAAGAAAAATTTTTTTTTCCCCTCCCTCATCCTTTTTCATCCCTTTTCCTTCCCATCCTCATCCCCCTCATCTTCCTCATCCCTTCCTATCCCCCAAGTAAAATTCTTTCACCAAATCCTTCCTTTCCTTTCTCTCTTGTTTAAATTGATTTTTAAAAACCATCAAAACTTTTCCATTCAATCATTCATTCATTCAATCATTCAATCATTCATTCGAGGTCTTAATTTCGGTTTTAATTTATTAAGATTTAATAGGAAAAAAAAAAAAAAAACTTTGAGCGGATTTTGTTTATTTTTCTTCTTCTGAATTTCATCCCCTTTTTTTCTCTTCTTCTTCTTCTTCCAGAAATTTCAATTATACGATTTTGCCTTTAAATGACACGACAGAAGAATACGAATATGATGATTTCGACGATTTGCAAGAGGAACAATCACCACCATCACCCATGGTTGACATTCTTAAATATTTCGGAGGATTAGTGAGTCTCGTATCGCTCATAAACGATTTCAACGGAGGAGGACTCGTCGGCGAAGAACAATCCAAACATGAAAAACACGTTAGAGACGTCCAAGAGTCAAATCCGGAAGAAAAAAAAGAAGACAAAGTTCAAGCGACCGGAAAACAATTTTACGAATCTCAAGATAGATTCGATTTCCCGCAGAAAAAATTTAAAAAACCTTCGTCGACGAAAATCAACACCGGAAATCAACAACAATACCAAACTTTGGAAAATTATCCACCGTATAATCCTTTGACGGCAAACGCGGCGGAAACTTACAATGGCGACGATAAGAAAACATCTTACGATGTTTACAACACCGGACAACAATACGAATCCTTGAACAACGATGGCGGAAATTCTTGGGACGAAGTACATCCGGTTTATCAACCTTGGATGTCGAAACCTCAAGAAAATAACGACGACGGTTTACCCTCGTCGAATTCATATCAGTGGCAACAAGACGATTTGAAACTTGGATCCGATGGAACGTACGATTTAAAACAACCATGGACCGGAAATCCCGTTTATAACCAACAAGATTTTGATGATCACCATCACCACCACCACCACCACCATCACCCCCACGAACATGAAGATGTCGACGAAGTAAGAGTTAGTAAAAAACCTTACAGTTATTATTTTCTAGGCCGGAAACTCTGGTACATTCCGCTTCTCTTCAGCGTTTATTTCATAATATACATCGGAGCTCTCGTATTGAAATCCGTTGCAAGACATAAAATTCAATTTCCGGAAAAGGTTTGGGATTTGCACGATTCGACATTCGGTCATTCTCAACACCGGAAACATAGAAAACTCGATGACATGACTGAAAAATTTGAAAAAGCCGTTGAAAAATTTAAAAATATTTTTATGTAAAATATATTTATTTATTTATTTATTTATTTACTCTATGGATTTTTTCTTTTCTTTCTCTCTTTCCTTTACGACGACGACGACGATGGTGAATGACGTCAGAATCAAAAACCTGAAATTTATTTTAAATTAATTAATCATTCGATATATATTTCGATAATAATGATAATAAAACTAAATTAAATAACAATAATAATAATAATAATTCGAATTGAAATTTTTTAACCGGAAATTCATTCGAACCGAAACGATATATTTATAAATTTTTCTTTTTTTTTTTTTTTGCAATTTTTTTTTTTTTTGTAAAAATCAACACGTACGGGCGCCATTTTGTTTTTGTTTTTATTAAATTAACAACAAATTGAAACATTTTTTATAGAGGTCAGCAACACCGGAAATTCAAAATCGAAACTCGTTTCCGGTAAACAGGGGGGCGGAAAAAAAAAAGCAACAACAAAAAAAAAAATAATTTATACAAATTTTTCTTATTATTAATTGGGGAGATAACTTTACTTGGGGGGAAAGAAAAATGAGAGAAAGAAAAAAAAGAGAGAGAGAAAGAAAGATAAAAAAACTGATACGTTTTTTTTCCCCCTTCCCCTCCCCCCCCCACAAAACAATTTAAAATTCAACTCGTTTTTCATCCCTTTTAGTAAAAAAAAAAAAAAATAAATAAAACCGGAAGTAAATTTTTCACCATTAATATAAAAAAAAGAAAAATTATCGCGTGAAAATAAAAATGTCTTCATTAGTACCTGAATGAAATAATATTAAAAAAAAAAAAAACCCTACTAATAATAATAATAATAATAATAATGATGATAATGATGATGATAAAAATTACACGGGTAAAAAAAAAAAAAAAAAAAATGTTGGTTTTAATTAAGTTTCAAATGAAACACCCGGAAAAACACGATAACGTTCGTTCCATTCATTCATTCATTTTTCTTTTTCCTCCCTTATCACGTCCCCTCTCTCTCTCTTTCTTTCTTTCTTGGGATTCGTGACAAAACTACGAACGTGTCGAGTTTTTTCTTCCACCCCCTTAAGGCGTTTTTCTCTAATTTTCAACCACCCTCTCCCCTATCCCTTCCCATCCCATCTCGGTATTTCTTTTCCCTTTTTTTCCCCCTTTTCCTTTCCCTTCATTCCAACATTTTTTTTTTTTTTTAAATTATAACGAAACGATTTATATAAACAAAGGGAAAGAGAAAAGAAAGAAAAAGAGATAGAAAAATAAGAAAAATTATTTTCATATTTTTAAACGTCACCCACCAAAATCCATCGTCGTCGTCCATATTTTCCAAATCCATTCCATTTCTATTTAGGTTAGAAGGAAAGTACCCGTTCGACCTAGAAATAATTCACGAGGTCATCACCTTCGTGACGATAAACCGTTTTTTACAAATTCGATCCCGATATATCTATCTCTCTCTCTCTCTCTCTCTCTCTCTCTCTCTCTCTCTCTCACTTTTCAAACGGTGCACAACAACAACAACAGTTGCATCCATAAAACCTAAAAAAAAAAAATTGTTTACACAAATAATTTACGTCATCAATTAGACCTTTTGTCTAATTTAGTGTATTAATTGATGATTTGGAATGGATTACCGGTACAAAAATTATTATTATCATCATTATTCTATTTCATATTGGTGACATATCATCATCAGTTTATCGTCGTTCTTCTTCATCATCTTCGTTCATTTTAAAATGTTATAAGAATACAAAAAGAGAAGACAAAAATGATGCGAAACATAAAAAAAGTGATGACGATTATTATTTTTTTATTTTATTTTTTTACATCCGTCGTTTTCTGCAATGAAATATCAAATCAAAATAATACAAGGTAAGGCACTCATCATCATTATTATTATTATTTAATTACCAAAAGGAAAAGAAAATTTTCAATTCTTTCCTTTGAGCAGTTCTGTGAAAATTTTCGAAAAAGGAAGAGGAATGTCAGAAGATTATCATCATGATGACGTTGTTAAACCAAAATCGGAAAAACCATGGTTGGGTTATTATGATTTTCTCATAACCGAAGGTTCATATAAATTTTGGGTTGTTTTCCAGGTAAGCAAAATCATATTTTCCTTTTTTTCCTTTGTCTCTACTTTGTCTGCTCTGCTAATTTTCCTTTTTTTCTCTTCTAGTTGTTCACCGTCGGTTTACTCATATATTCGGCATTTGCTGCCATTTATTACGCCAAATACACGATTAACGATTATGAAAATTACGACGATTACTTATTGGGAAGAAGTTCCAGGACGAAACGTTACGTTCCATCACCTCAAACTGAATTTTTAGGTTTGCCCGTTGAAACGTACCTGCAAATATTCAATGCGATTTATAATTATTCTTATAAATAATAATAATAATAATAAAAATTTTTTTTTTACGCGCGTTATTAATAATCGTAAATTATCACAAAATTTTCATACCTTCTTTCCTCTCCTTCCCACCGGGACGCCACCGCCACCGTTAACAAATACCAAAAACCTTAAAAGGTTTCAAATTGAATTAAATTATCGTAAATTAAAAATAAAATAAAAAAATTCTTTCGAAATAAATAAAAAGGAAGAAGACGGCCTACTGTGACATAAACGTACACAAAACAAAATTCGTAGAAATCCTCTTCATCTTCTTCTTCCACTTCCACTTCCTTTTCCCTTCTTCATATATTCATCCATCCTTTTTTGGAATTGTGTCGTGGCAGATATAAAATTAAAATTTACAATGAACGTGTACAACAAGATTGAATTTTTTTTTTTTTTCCTTTTCATTTATTCATTCATTTTTTAATTACAATCGATCATAGAATAAAATAGAAACAATAATATATAAAACGACAAACGAGTTTTTCACGTGTGCGTGTGTATGCGTGGATGATCCCACGTGCGTGCGTACGTGCGTGCGTACGTGCGTGCGACAAAATTATTTCTTAAAAAGGGCAATAAATTAAACCGAAAAAAAAAAAAAAAAAACGAATCATTTACCGTGACCATAAATTTCTATACGTTTTTTTTATTTTATTTATTTACTTTTTTTTTGTTTTTGTTTGTTGTTTGTCGTTTGTTTTTGAATAATGAATCATAATAATTTTTTATCTTATGTTTTACTTCATTAGTTAATAACATTAACCCTTTATTTAAATCGTTTCTCTTTTAATTTATTATTGTTTCGTACAATTAAATAAAATGAAAAAAAATTATTTATTATTATTTATTATTATTAAATTTTTTTTTTTATTAAAACGACATCCAAGTGTTTTCCGGCAACCCTTTTAAATATTTCCCAAAGAAAAGAAAATGCTGGGGGTACTTGAAAAAAAAAAAAAAAAAAAAAAAAAAATTCTCTCGAGAATGTGGGTCGTTTCTTATATTAATAATTATTATTATTATTATTATTCTCAATTTATTCTAGTCAGTCATTCATTGATCACTTAATCGTCTTTTCCTTTTTCTTTTTTTTCCCGATACGTTTCCGTTACTGTTGTTGTTTACTTCGTACTCATCTCACCCCCGACCACCACCACCACAAGCATCGCCATCGCCATCCATTGTTGTAAATTCCCCTTTCATTCATTCATTCATAGTTTTTCCTTCCTTTTTTTTCCTTTTATCTCTTTGTCTTTTTTTTTTTTTTCCATCTTACTACGCACATTGTAATATTTATTGTCGAAAGAGACGGAAAGAGAGAGAGAGAGAGAGAACATGTCCGAGTAGTAACATCGCCCTCACACAAAATTAATTTTTAATAAATTCTTCTTTCTTCTTCTTTTCTTTTTCTTCTTTTTCTTCTTATTCTTTCTATCTTTTAGTTTGACCGTATGACGTTATCTTTTTCCATTTTTTATTTTTTTGTGATTGATTTGTATGTATTATCACACTTTTAACCAAATTCTTTTTCGTCTCATCGTAATCTCTTATTATTTCCATTTCCACCTAGAAAAAATTAATTAATTAATTTAAAAAAAAAAAAAAAGTTCAATTCCTTTATTTCCGTTATATACATATATAAACATAAATCAAATCGTGGAAGCAAATAAATGCAATAAAAAAGGAGAAACAAAAAATGCTAGGTAGGAAATAAATAAATAAATATGAGAGAGAGAGAGAAAAAAAAAGAACCAGAATGAAAGAGACAAAAGGAAGAGAGAAAAGGGGAAACAGAAAGAGGGAAAGAAGTGAAAAAGAGAACGAGAGAGAGATATAAAAAAAGAGATGAAAAAGAGAAAGAAAGAGAGAGAGAGAGAGACGGGAAGAGAGAATGAGATGAGAAAAAGAGAGAGAGATATAAAGAAAGAGATGAAAAAGAGATGAGAAAGAAACAGAGAGAGAAGAAAGATAGGGGAAGAGAAAAGAAAGAGATGAGGGAGAGAGAGAAAAAGAGAGAGAGAGAGAGAGAGATATGTTATATTAGATTTCCGTTAAAAATAACAAAAAAAAAAAAAAAATTAATAATAATTAAGTAATTTTTAAAATGACTTTTTTGAGTTGTTTGGGCGGATACAAACGTTTTTTAATTTTTTTTTTCTTTTTTTTTCTTCTCCTTTTTTCGTGAATTGATTTATTATTATTTTTTCATTCGTATCGTTGAAATATTCTTTCATTGTTTTATTATTATTTTATTTCACTCCCCCCCCTCCCTTTCTCCTTCCCCCCACGCTCTGAAAAAAAAAAAATAAATCGTCAAAATTTAAATTAAACGACGGAGAAGACCTCAAATATTTGCTTGTTTTTTTTTTTGCCAAATCAATTTATTTCATAAATATTATCATTATTATTATTTTGAATCATTCGCACACGCACACGCACAATTATGTTATTTAAATTAAAACTATCAAACACAACATAATTTTTTTTTTTTATGAAGCAGCAACAGAAACAGCAGAAGCAGCAGCAACATACGCGTTCTCCTTGTTTTCTTACCACGTTGAGAATAAAATAAAAATAAAATCAAACCCCACGTGTGTGTGTGTGTGTGTGTTTGTGGGTGTCCGTGCACGTGCATTAACTCTAACTTTTATTTTTTTTTTTTTAAATTCAAATTTGATAATCGAACACATTCTTAATCTCATTCTTAACATTTTTTTATGTTGCATCTCCCTCCCCAAAAAAAAAAAAGGGTACCATTTTGTGTGAACCTTTTACTAAACCTTTTACTTTAAACCTTTTACTAATTACTAATTTTAATTTGTTAATTTTTGAATTATTACCTCAGATTAATTTGGATCCAATTAATCAAACTTGAAATTATTAATATTATTATGTCATCGTTTAATACCTGCAAATAAAAAATTATTATTAACATTTTTAAAAAAAAAAATCCTTTTTTTCCTTTCCTCCCCTCCCCCCCTCAAATGATTTTACAAAAAAAAATTGAATAAAAATGTAACATGTGCCACACCGAAAAAAAAAAAAAATGAAAAAAAAAGTAAATAAATAATTTAGTGAAAGTCATAAATCATTTTTTTTCTTTTTTTTAATACACATTAATTTATAAACTCTTCCATATTGGATTCCTCCTTCTCCACCTCCTCCTTATCCTCCTCCTTTTTTTTTTGTTGTTCATTCAAGGTAAAATGTGTTAAAATTTCTTGTCGAAATATCTTTTTATTTTAAAAACATTTGTTATAAACATATTTCATTTTTTTTTTTTTTCGCTTTTATTTTAGTAATTAAAAAAAATTAATCATGTGTTCTCCTGTTACATTTTTATATAATAATAATAATAATAATAATAAAAACATGAATGAATAAAAAAAAATTTATGTTTTTTAATAATAATGATTTTTTACTCTATAAATAATTATTGTTTTTTACCTGTATTCATAAACGAATCAATTTTTGTAAACCCTTCTTCTCAATCGTGATCTTAAAAAGAATATGATCTTAAAGTTTTCCTTTTTCTGTAACCTTTTCACCTAAAAAAAAGGAATTTTTCTTTTAATAAATGTCAAGTACATTAATTTGTTATTTTAATAAATGCTTGCATGGAATCGAATAAATCGATTTGAGTCATCATTTACCTGTACTCTCGATAAGTAAAAACGATTTTCCAATGAGTTGATGACAATGAGCTATGTCGATATAGTTTAAATTTTATCATTTTAATACCTGAAAAAAAAAAATTGAATCCCATTAGTAAATTTTATCACTGTCAACATGTATTTATAATCTGATAATTGTAATTTAGTCAAAATTAATGTAATATTTATTTCTTCTTAATAAATAACAATATTCAATCAATCAATTCAAGTTTATCGAACATTTGTAAAATTTTATAATCAAAAATGTAATAACCTTTTTCTTAATGAAATGTAACAAGATTTTTATTTTAAAACAAATTAAACATTTATGTGAGTTATAGAATATTTTGTTAATGTTTTCAATTATAAAATTCTTAATAGAAAAATTTTAATTTAAAAAGAATTTCAATAAATAACTGCTGATTAATAATACTGAAACCTTATGTTAAACAATCAAAAAGTATTGTTTACAATTTTTTCTTTTTTTTCTTACATAACAATTTTTAAATACCTTTCTTTATAATTAATGAATTCTTCAAAATCCCGTCAGCAATTTTTATTCTATTATTTAATTAAGCCTGCAATAAAAATAATTTTTTTCTTATTAAAAACAAAAAAACAATTTGATGTGAATGTGTGTGTGTGTGTGTGTAAATATTTAAAATTTAAATGTCATTCAAGTTAAAATTTATATAAAATCGACGTGATAACGAAAATATATTTATATATTTATAACTACGTTTGTGTGAATAACGATTAATTTACAAAAATTACCCTAAATCCGTTGATTAAATCAGCTGGACATGACACGAGTCGGCCATTTTGAATTTTAATATTCCTATAAGATTCCTATTAATTGAGATACTTTATCCGAATAATTCATTATTAAATATTTAAAAAACGAAAAAAACGACACGTTATTATTAAAAAATGATTTTAAAATCGTAATAAATAATACGAACTAGTATAACGAAGAAGTAAATACTTAAAAATCGATCAAATTGTTTTAAAACCCACAAACTCAAACTCATAGGAAAAGAAAAATGGCGCAAAAAATGGCGCCCTTCTTTTTTTTTTTTTTTTGGTTCAAATCCTTCGTTTTCATTTTTTTTTTCTTTAAATTACTCTTTTTTACCTTTTTATTTCCATTTCAATAATTAAAATCTTTATTAAAAAAAAAAAAGAAGTATTATAAAATTATTATAGTTCATGTTAAAAAATAAAATAAAATAAAAACATAAACCTGTTAACCCACATGAATTTTTTTTTTTTTTGACATTTTTCAAAATCTATTTTTTTATTATTATTATCACCATCATCATTATCATCATTATCATG